CGATCGGTAACACTTCCCGATGAACTGCTCCAGCTCCCAGGAAGGGCGGCGGTCGGCCCTCCACACGTCCACCGCTGCCGAAACGGCCGGCGGCGGGGAAAGCCTTTGGATCGATGGGAGCACCTCGTCGCAGAGTAGGCTCGCGGCCTCAGGGGTGAGACTTCCCGAGCGGAGGCGCCGTCCAATGATCCGCTTCAGCTTCTTCAACCAAGGCGGGCGCGTCCGGCTCGACATGGTCGGCGCTGGCGGTTGGATCCACGCCTCGCGCCTCCGATTCCCCTCCGGTTCGGTGGCAAATGCAGCTCGCTCTTGGGATGGTCCGCACAGCGCGGCGGTGGCGGTGTGCTGGTGTGAGAATGGGGAACGAATCGAAATTAGTTGGAAGCGGCGGCGGCGGCGGCGGGCTCGGTGGTGTACTCGCGATGGCGGCTGGGCTCTGGTGGCTGCCTTCGCGTGCTTGGGGGAGTACTGATCACGTGCCTGGGAGTGGGCCACCAGGTTGGCATGTTTTCTTTGGGCTTCGACGTTTGACCAAGTAAATCTGGAAAAAAAAATTCTTGAAGGAAAATAGAAAATTAATTTGAGCGCCAGACAATTTGAGGCGTTATGTACAGAGTGGCAACCGAGGAAATACTGATTTGAGGATCTAAAATGTCAACAACAAACTCAAAAAGTCAAAATGAACAGGAAAAGAAAGAGAGAGAAGTCGACCATGAATTGTATATTTGACTTTAATTTCTGTTAATACTTTATAGAATAATGTTTTTTTTTGAAAAGGTTATAGAATAATGTTGAATTTACTACCACAAATTCCTCTCATGTTGATGTTGATCTCGTGCTCATATCATGCAAATGAAGCTTGTCGTCTCATTTTTATGATCAGTTCAAAATAGTAATCAACCACGTACCATGAGAATAATAATAGTTTTTAAATCATCCAAAGAGAAGTGAATTGTATTAAAAGAAAAGAAGGTCCAAACTAGACAAACAACGACCCAAAAAAGAGTTTATAGCAAGAAAAATAGAAAATATGCAATTACTATGACTAAGGTATGTTGACAACAACCTACTCTTAAACAAGGACAAGTAGCCACACAGTAAGACAACATCTAACATATGTAGAAGCAAACAAACCCTCGCCACCCCACCTAGAAGACATGACCTTTTAAACTCATCGGTAGCTTAAGTCTAACGTCAACGACTTCTATAAATACACCGTTGCGTCCATGGGTGGACCTAGGTCCGGCGACCCTGGGCGCCTGCCCGGGCTGTCTCGCTGACAGACGTGAGGATGCCTGTCCTGGCGACCACAGTTGCACCGCATTTCTGTACTATACCTTTGGTTAGTAGGCTCTACTAAATCAATCACTTAGATTACTGCTTCTCAAGTCTCACGAAGTGATATATATGTAGCAGAAACTCAGCTATCATGATGTACTAGTACAGGTTAATAAATGACTTTTAACTTCTACTCCTTAGTAAAATTATCATTCTTCGATGGTTTCAAAACTCAAAGACTTTAAAAACATACAGCTGGCGCGTACCTTTGAGCTTACATAATGTATACTGGACTTCTTTTTGAGTATAACGTATACTTATTTTTAGTGTCATAGGGCCTGTTTGTTTTCTAGAAACAAATTGCCACCATTTTGTCAAAAAAAATTGCCTCACTTGTATAAGGTTAGTGTTCAAAATATTTGCTTCATCTTGGTAAGACTAATAAAATCTTACCACAAGCTTTTGAATTATTGACATGTGCACAATCTAATTTATATGAGTGATGGTCGATATATTTATATGAACTTATTCACCATTATTATATTCACCCAGGCTCTAGAAAATTCCTGGGTCCGCCACTGGCTGCGTCCTCGTTGAACTCCTATCCTTCCCAACAAATAAGCAATTAAAAAACATAATTGAAGGTGTATATAGTGTGTTGTAAATCAAGAGTACATAGAGCCAATAGATCACATTAGAAATCATGATAAAGACATGGTACCTAGATCACTGGCTGTGGTGAAGCACAGTACATATGTAGGTACGATACCATATCATATATATTGCTCGGTGATTATAGCTAGCATGTCTTATTCCCGATGACAATGCCCTGAGGGACGGTGGCAGCAGCCACCAGGGCCCCTCTGTTAGTGCAGCCAGACAGCTAAGCCAAGCTCTTGGTCGCGGCCGCCATTGTCGCAGAGCCAGTTTGGTAGCTCTCTCTCCCCCCATTTCCCAATGGCTCCAACTCCTGTTTCTCTCGCCTCCGGCTCTGCTAGCTCCCACCCGGAAAAAACTATTTGATAGCACTTCCTCATTGGCTCTAGCTGGACAGCGCAGAGGAGTGTTGGTGGAGAGGCAAGTTAGAGAGGGGTGTGGAGGCTAGAGCGAGGGTCCGTCGAGGTCAAGTGCCTCAGGACGAGTGGTGACCTCGCCTCCTTTGTCAATGATGCAGAGGGGGCGTGGGAGGCGCGCTGCCAAACTATGCCTCTGATTGGCAATCAGTGAATAACGGGTTTTTTTCACTACCACACGTAGTGCAAAAAGGGATAGCCGGAAGAGTGCTTCCTATATGGAGCTAGGCAAAGCGGCGGTATTTGGCATGGCTACGTGGCTTCTCGCGTGGAGTGGAGCAGGTGGAGCGCTGACAAACTATAGCACTCGGGTTTATGAACAAAACAAGCGTTAATTTAATATTGAAACATATATTTTAACCAATTTTGAGAACTACTTTTGAAACATAATTGAATATTTTTTTTGGGGAGTACTGATCACGTGCCCGGGAGTGATCTAAAATGTCAACAACAAACTCAAAAAGTCAAAATAAACCGGAAAAGAAAGAGAGAGAAGTCGACCATGAATTGTATATTTGAGTTTAATTTCTGTTAATATTTTATAGAATAATGTTTTCTTTTTTTGAAAAGGTTATAGAATAATGTTGAATTTATTACCACAAATTCCTCTCATGTTGATGTTGATCTCGTGCTCATATCATGCAAATGAAGCTTGTCGTCTCATTTTTATGATCAGTTCAAAATAGTAATCAACCACATGCAGTGAGAATAATAATAGTTTTTAAACCAACCAAAGAGAAGTGAATTGTATTAATTGAAAAGAAGGTCCAAACTAGACAAACAACAACCTAGAAAAGAGTTTCTCTTCTCTCTCTCACAACTAAAAAGACTAAAAGGAAGACACTGTTTTGGTGCGACAAAAACTTTGCCTCACCTTCGCTTCACCCCGTGCGATCCCGCCTCACCCTACGACAAATTTAGAAGCCGCACGATCCCACCTCACCCGGCGACATAGTAGGAAACCGCGCGATCACGCCTCACCCCTGCGACAAATTTGGAAGCCGGAAGCTGGGCCTTCTTCACCGCGAACGCCCTCGCGATACCTAGGAATGGATACCTAGGTTGAATAAAGAAGTAACATGTGTTCGTTCTTAAGATTTCTCTAGAATTATTTAGCTTTTTTAATACCCAGCCAAACGCGTAATCCTACATAGTTGCTATTTTTTCAATTTTTTAGGTTTGTATATGCATTACTACCATATTTCTGTGTTTTTTCTATTCTTGTGTGTTTTCGTTCTTCGGTTCCAAAGGGGGCCTAAGGACACAAGAATGAATGGGTTACAATCTTAGCAACGGTAATTGGCTTAGGGGCACTTTAGTAGAGATGGCAACCAGGTTAAAGTTTTCTTGTGATGTGATCTAAATCCAAATTATGTAAGAGACCTTTTTATGTAACCTTCTCAAGTCACTTAAATAATCTACAAAAACTAGGCATCACCCTAAGCTATGAAAGCCATCTAAATGGACCTCTGCATACATCTAAAACATAATTTCTTTGTCTGTTGTACATTTGTATCACGAACCATTTCCTACTTTTTATTCTCTTTCCCACATCCTTCCACCTTAGATTGGTGCCATGGATACGCGTGCATATTTATCCGTGCGATTGGGTCGATTTTTCCAAGATTGGGAGATGACATTGAGAGTTGTTGGAGATGTTTTTTCATTCTTGTTAAAAATCATGGATTGGGAGATTGTTTTGGGAACTCTTGCAAATGCTCTAATATGCTAGATAGAAAAACACCCCTCCAAAACCATATTAGGGTTATTGAGACGGTTTTAAATAGTTTGGTGTGCCTAGTTGGCTGGTGTCATGGTTCATGGGTATAATAATAAGTTGACGAATCTCAATGTTGTCTCAATGTTGAATAAACATGTGTCTCCAAACTGTTAACTGTACAACTAGAGAGAGGTTCAAGTGGCTTTTAGATTGAATATCTCAAAAGGCCTGACCATATATTGGACACGACCAAAATTATGAATACCAATGGGACAGCTCGATCTCTCCAAAGAGACAAGAGAAAAGAAATATGAGAAATTTTATATGGACGCATCACCATGTGCAGCACAAAATAAGTTACAAAATAAGTGCTCGCCTTTTGAGCAACAAGCTCTCCGCTTCTGCCTAAAGCAATTATTGTTGAGCATCCTAGTGATCAAACTTAATCTGGAAAGCAGGTCAAGCTTTTGAGCTTAATGTGGCAGCAGAACATTCTGATGCATCCAATGTTTGTAACATGTATTCGGCCAACATAAATAACACATATTCAGATCAGAGGAAACTGAAATTTGAAGTGGTATTAGTAATAACTCAGTAGCAAATTACATTATTATTCTGAAAGCTGGAGCACAAATGATAGAATTTGAAGCTAACTATTACTTGAGAACGCCAAACATCACATATAAATTGTGCAACTTGGGCAACCACATGTCCACATACATTAAGCTGCATATATATGTAAAGCAAAGCTATCTCACACACAGGTCTCAACTGCATATATAGTTGAACAAAACCATCAGAAGGAATATGATACATCCAAGCAACATCATATCTGAATTAAAATGCATGCACCACCTAACAGTAGTAGTGTATAATTTTGGTAGATTTACCCAAGTTTCTAACGACTCCATAATCCATCGAGATCAAATTCACACAGGGTTTTCTGGAGCCTCGTCTGTCTCCAGTGCTGATGACCTGGAGAAACAGGGGACGTATGGAGTTACGGCTCTGTAGTTGTGCCCGAGAGTGCAGAGGCGCAAAACCTTTTCGTACTGTCTACTCATGTGGTGCTGTATGAGTTCCCCTTTCCTGTGGTCAACAAAGTAGACGAAATTCCCGTCCGGATGAATGGCAACCACTTCATAGTCCTTTATTCTGCATTCCTCTCTTCCAGACAGCTCACCGCCCCAAATGCCGAACTTCTTTATCCACTTTTCAGCATCATAATCCTGAAGAACATGAACGTGCATTATCATTCTGTCCCTCCAGTCTTTATCTTTATCTATAAAATAATCACTAATGCAATGCAGGCGCCCTTGGGACTGACCAATAAAAACAGCTTTGGTGAACATGTCCAGCTTCCAGTGTATGACCCTACATATGCTCCCTTCCCCATCCACAGCAACTATGAGCACATCATGTATATTTGGCCTGCTGCGTTGGACCAAGAAATGCAGCATGCCATTCAGAAAGCAACTGCCCAACCGGGATTTTACCGTGACTCGATATCGATTGTCCCGTTCGCCTTCCTTTGCAAACTGCTTCCATTCGCTCGATCTGTTGCTCCATTCCCCGGTCTCGGACGAGTAGATGTGCACAACCCTTTCATCTCCACTGAAATTGAGAAAACCATCCTCATCATGCCAGAACTGGATCAAGAGGTAGCGTGAGGGCACGGCCGGGTCGAAGAACAGAAAAGTGCTCTCACGCTCTTCGTCGTCCGGAAGAACCCAGCCAGAGCTGGGGACCGTGACCCATTGCTTGGTGGTGGGGTTGCACACGATGTAGCCCAGCGAGTGATAGTTTTCTGAACCCTCTGTGCTTTCTCAAATGTATGAACACACTCCTGCTGGTGTAACAACTTCTAATGGTTTGAGCGGAAATACCACATTGAAACAGTGAAAAGAGGTGTATCCGTGTATACTTGGTATACACATGTTTTACAATCAGCTGACTTCATCATAAGACTAAGGAACAGGTTTTCAACTCCTCAAGAGTAGAAAGGTGAAAAGAACAGTTTCTTCAGCAAACAAACCAAGGCTACGGTTCTAAGTGTCAAATAGGGAACGAAAAATTTTTGAGGGCCAAGAAAGGAACGGGTCATTTCTTCAGTGTCAAATAAGGAATTCTCTCGAAAAATAAAGGTTAAGGACCGTCATTGCAAGGAATCCCCTCATACATATACTTCACAAAAGATCAAGCTTGCAACAACGAAACGCTAAAGTTTACAAAGACAAGAAGACCTACAAGATACATACTACTGGGTAGATAAGAAACCATACTGTAACTTCTCCAGACTGATGACACATCCAAATCATCTTCATGTAAAATTAAGCACAACATAATGCGTCCTAGTTAAGATTAAGAACCTGTTTCCCTCTTTTGGTCTTCTTCAGGTTGAGTTCCATCCCAATGGCAGTTCATCCAATCCAAAATATTACTCACGAAATTATATTTTCCGTTATAGTATCACTCTTATCTGCCTTGCTCAACATTTCTCTGAACACAGTTAATACATCCTCTATCCTACCGTCTTCACAGCAGCTATCAATCAAAGTCTTACAGGTAACAACATCAGGTTTCAATCCCATAGAGACCATGCCATCAAGTAAAGTACTAAAGGTAACAGCAGTGGGTTTCAAGCCAATCAAGAGCATATCATCTAGGAGCTTCATCACTTCGTCCACTTCACCAGCTAAGAAATACCCATGAATCATTGCATTATAGGAAACAACATTAGGTTTTACACCTGCACGTGGCATCAAATCAAAGAGTTTTCGGGCCTCTGTAACCTTTCCTTCTTTGAATAGCTTGTCTATCATTGCATTGAACACATTGACATCAGGAGGAATGCCTCTATCCATCATCTCATAAAATAGTTCCTCAGCCTTCTCCCATTTGCCGTACATAGAAAAACCATGAATTAGGATTCTAAATGTTATGATATCGGCAGACAATCCATCATGAATCATCTGAGAAAATTGGGACATTGCATCGTCCAGCCGGCCTATCTTGCAAAGCCCATCTATCACTGTGTTGTAGGTGACTATGTCTGGCATCAATCCGAGCTGCTGCATTTTGTTAAATGTAAGGATTGCATCATCTAGCCTTCCACATTTACACTATGCATACAACTGTATGTTGAAGACATGAAGGTCAAGTCGCATTCCATTTTGTACCATCAAATCTTTGACATTGTTCATTTCAACAAGATTGCCTTCGGTAGCATACCCATGAAGCAGACTTCTATAGGTGGAAACATTGGGTTTTTCACCGCTCTGAATCATAGAATTAAAGATCTCTCTAGCTTCTGTGCACAATCCAGATTTACAAAGACAGTCTATCAGCATATTGTAAGTAACAACATCTGGCCGTTGCCCATCTCCGGACATTTCTTTGAGAATTCTGACTGCCTCTTTCCACTGTCCAAGGGAGAGGTATCCGTGGATCAGACTGTTATATGTAGCGCAATCAGGCATAATATGTTTGTCAAACATCTGCCGGCGGACCTCCTCGGCCTTGTCCATTGCTTTAACCTTGCATAGGCCATCAATGATTGAGCTGTAGGTCACAACATTTGGCGGGATCCCATGATCGAGCATTTCACGAAACAGGGTGTAAGCTTCTCACCCTCTTTAAAGAAGCCATCGATTACAGTGGTATAGGACACTGCATTAGGTGGGCAGTTGCCATCCTCAGCCATCATGTGGATAAGTTCGACAGCCTCTTCACATTTCTTCTCATCACATAGCCCTTTGAGAAGTGTGGTGTAGGAGAAGACATCGGGGGTGCAGCCGAGCTCAGGCATCCGCCTGACCACAATATTCACCGCATCACTCGTCCTCTTCTCAGCACAGAGGGTCCTGAGCAGGGGCGTGAAGATGACGGCATCTGCCCTCAGCCCCGTCTTAAAGATTTGGCCCAATGCAGCGAAGCCGAGGTTCAAGCAGCCCGCACCGCAACAGCAACTGATGAGGATGGTGTAGGTAAGCTATGTTTGGAGCCACCTTCTTGACCATGCGGTTGAACAGGGACACGGCGAGTGCAGGGCCTTCGCGCACGGTGGAGGAGACCGGGGCGCGAGCGACGGTGGTGAGCAGCTGGTTGAGGGCGTAAATGGAGCCGGGCCTCGCTCGGTGAAGCAATTCGTCGAACAGATCGAGTGCGTCCTCGGGGCCGAGGTCCCCCGAGCGGAAACACTCTCCGATAAAGCGCTCCAGCTCCCAGGAAGGGCGGCGGTCGGCCCTCCACACGTCCGCCGCTGCGGAAACGACCGGCTGTGGGGAACGCCTTTGGATCGATGGGAGCACCTCGTCGCAGAGTAGGCTCGCGGCCTCAGGGGTGAGACTTCCCGAGCGGAGGAGCCGTCCAATGATCCGCTCCAGCTTCTTCAACCAAGGCGGGCGCGTCCGGCTCGACATGGTCGGCGCTGGCGGTTGGATCCACGCCTCGCGCGTCCGATTCCCCTCCGGCTCGGTGGCAAATGCAGCTCGCTCTTGGGATGGTCCGCACAGCGCGGCGGTGGCGGTGGCGGTGTGCTGGTGTCACAATGGGTAACGAATCGAAATTAGTTGGAAGCGGCGGCGGCGTCGAGGATTCGGTTTTGTACTCGCGGTGGCGGCTGGGCTCTGGTGGCTGCCTTCGCGTGCTTGGGGGAGTACTGATCACGTGCCTGGGAGTGGGCCACCAGGTTGGCATGTTTTCTTTGGGCTTCGACGTTTGACCAAGTAAATCTGGAGTTTTTTTTTCTTCAAGGAAAATAGAAAATTAATTTGAGCGCAAGACAATTTGAGGCGTTATGTACAGAGTGGCAACCGAGGAAATACTGATTTGAGGATCTAAAATGTCAACGACAAACTCAAAAAGTCAAAATAAACCGGAAAAGAAAGAGAGAGAAGTCGACCATGAATTGTATATTTGACTTTAATTTCTGTTAATACTTTATAGAATAATGTTTTCTTTTTTTGAAAAGGTTATAGAATAATGTTGAATTTATTACCACAAATTCCTCTCATGTTGATGTTGATCTCGTGCTCATATCATGCAAATGAAGCTTGTCGTCTCTTTTTTTTTATGATCAGTTCAAAATAGTAATCAACCACATGCAGTGAGAATAATAATAGTTTTTAAACCAACAAAAGAGAAGTGAATTGTATTAAAAGAAAAGAAGGTCCAAACTAGACAAACAACAACCCAGAAAAAAGTTTCTCTTCTCTCTCTCACTATAAAAAGACTAAAAGGAAGACACTGTTTTGGTGCGACAAAAACTTCGGCTCACCTTTGCTTCACCCCGTGCGATCCCGCCTCACCCTACAACAAATTTAAAAGCCGCACGATTCCACCTCACCCGGCGACATATTAGGAAACCGCGCGATCACGCCTCACCCCTGCGACAAATTTGGAAGCCGGAAGCTAGAAGCTGGGCCTTCTTCACCACGAACGCCCTCGTGATACCTCACCTATCGTGCCAATCCCTCGCGAGACGTGTAGGCCGGCAGCGGAATCCCGGCGCCTCCATCGTGGACATGCAGTGGATACGGCGTTGTCCTTTCACGCGTGACTTCGTCCATCGCGTCGAGTTTTGTCGCGGTTCTTCTCCATCATATCGATCTGGTTTGCCGTCGTCTTCCTGGTATGTACTCCATCGATCTAGTCGTGTGCTTCTTGCGCCGCAGTCGCCGCTCCTAGGTTTCCCATGGCTATCACCGCTAGGTTTCCCATGGACGTCGCCGCTAGGTTTCCCATGGCCACCGCCGGTAGAACTGCGTTGGCCGTCTCTGGCCGTAGCCGGGTCTGGTCCGCACCTGCTGCCGCTGTGTGGATGCTGTAACAGAACCGATCAATTATACGAAATTAAGTAAGAAAATCACCCGCCAGAGCAGACGACTTAGCAAACTTAAGCCCGTATAACCCGGTAGTCCGTGAAATCACGAAGGATTTCAAACCAACTCGCATACCAGCCAAGATCGTAATAAGTTTAGCGGTCACCATCACATATTACATAAAAGTTCGCACCACCGGTACATCAGAGTTTAAACATAGTTATTACAAAACGAGTTCAAATAGAAGTAGCGGAAGCCATTTGTTCAAAACCACACACACTCACATGGAGTTCAAGTACAGTGCCAGCTAATGATCATCTCCAACAAAAGCATTAGACGAGACGTAAGGAATGACCATGCCCATGGTCCTAAGCATCACCCATCGTAGGATAAAGGCAGTTGATACAGTAGCCGTAATACATCTGCCCATCTGCAACAAGTGGGAACAAAACCCTGAGTACGAGAAGGTACTCAGCTAGACTTACCCGACATAATCGAAAATAAAGTGACACCAAGAATTATGAAGGGCTTTATAGTAGTGTAGCTGACTCATTTGCAAAAAGAGGTATTTTTGGCATTTCAAGAACCTTTCTAAAAGCATTATTGTCAAGTTAATTATTATTAACCTGTCGACTACATTTGCACCTATACTAGAGCAAGCATGTGATTAAGCAAATAATGATAACCAATGATCATTAACAACTTCCATAGTGTTATATCCATTATAACTGTCCAAGTGTTCCATCAACATTACTATGATGAAGTAACTCAAGTCAAGTGTTCACTATCCAGTGCACGATGGCGATTCGAATCGATTATTAACCAGTTGGTAATTTATTCCTTACACAAACCTCACTCGCCCGCTAAAGTGAGGTATCGGTCACCGACTCAACTATCCAGGAAAAATCTCAAGTTTGCCAGGAACCACATGTACCCGTGTAACACCTCGGGTGTTTAAAATACTAAAACCTGACATGTCATCATATGCATTGCAAAGCATTTGACATTTGGTGAAAACTTTGAGATGCATACACTAAAACAAGTTTATATTCATGTGGTATGTGTTGAATTGTATTGTTTGACTTAAATTCAAAGTTTGTTTGGATTTTTAAATTTTTCGAGAAAACCCCGCTTTTCAGCATTTAAATCCTACCCTGAAAATCCATTTCAAAATCTAAGCATAATTTGGGGTTGATCCCAAAAGCAAAAGTGTAGAGCTTGGCAAGTTATACAAAGTTTATTTTTGGAGTTTTTCAAGTTGTTTAGAAAATTTTTGAGTAATTCAAAAAGGCGTAATTCGTTAAATTTCCCTATTCAAATTCAAAAGTTCATTTCAAAATCTAGACCGAATTAGGAGATGGTTATAGAAGCAAAGTTGTAGAACTTTTGATTTTGAACAACTTTTGTTTTTGGAGATTTTTGAGTTGTTATGAAAATTTGAGAGTAATTTGTGAATTTTGCAAATGGCAAACTTATAATTATCGTGAATGATTGTCCACCGTCGAGACTACACCGCCGACGACCTTCTTGGCGTTCTAGGCGTCGTGGCCGTCCTTAAGCGTCATACCGCACGTAAACGGCTCCATCGTGGCTTCCTTGAGCTTCGAGTCGCGTTATAAGAACCGAGACGCCGCCGTTGTCGCTGCTTTTTCTTCCTCCTCTCGCTTTTCTGCCGCCACCACCGCAGCCTCCGTCGAGCTCTCGCCGTTGACTTAAGCGCCGTTGCTTGCCTTTAGCAAAGCTCGCCCTACTCCGCTTTTAACCTTACGCGTCCAACCGACCCACCAATTCAGTTTATCTCCACCGGAAACTCATTGTCCACGTCTTTCTTTCTTGGCGGTGGCAACTCCTCCGCCGAAGCGTGATTCGCCGTGGCGAGCTCCACGGTGCATCTTAAATCCCCGATTTTGGCCGATTCGCTTTCGCCTCGATCGTCAGTAGTACTTAATCCATAGCTGGTTGCTCATTTTGATCACTATAGTCGCCGCACACCATCGCCATCGACGCGTTTTGCTCATTGTGATCACCGTGATCGTTGTCACGCCTCTCGCTGCTTCTCCGACCTCGCCCTTGCTTCAACGCGTTCGGGGTGAGCCTCTGGTGCTTCCTGAATCCCTTGTTTGAGCTCTACCGGTCGCACACCGCCGGCGTAGCGCTGCCGTGCCACCGCGTCCGCCATGGTCGACGACGAGCTAGTATAGGGTCGTGTCGGTCTTGATAGGGACGTCAATCGATGCGCCTAGACTTGGTGATCATTTTGGTACGTTGGTCGTCGCCGGTGATCTCACCGTCGGTGAGAAATTGCCGGTCAGAGCCGTCGCTGCCGTGGTCAACGTTGGAGGTTAGGGATGACAGGTGGGGTCAGGTTGTCAGTGACTCAGTGTTCAAATGGATTTTTTCTATTTTCAGATTTGAATGAATAGTGTCTGTTTTTGTTATTTTTGTGTAGATTTATTTAGAGCTCCAAAAATTATGAAAATTTTTGTGTGACTTCTCTGTGATGTATAGTATTTAAGAAAAATATAAAATAATGTTTTTAGTAATTTTTGAATATGATAAAATTGCTCAATTTATTAATAAATGGATTTCCATGATTTTCTAGGCTTATTTATATATCCAAAATTATGAAATTGGTTTTGCCACTTAGTTATCATGTAATGAACATTTACAAAATTTTGAGCTCAATTGGAATAAGTTGATTTATTTCATAATTTTGAATTAAATAATTAATTCATAAAAGCAAATAGTAACCTTTAATGATTTAGGTTTTGTTTAAAATTTTGATTGAGTGATGACCTTGGATCATTAGTTGATAATGATCCTTGGCAATTGATTGGGTGTTGCGAAAAAGGTTTGACTAGTTTGACTTGCAACCTGTCTCACGAAGGAAAGTTGTATTCAAATTATTAATTTTGCATCCATCATCGAGCATCATGTTTCAGTATTCCACATCATGTTAAACATGGCATTGTTATTACGTGTAGTAAACGAAGGTGAACACGTGGTAGTTAATCAAGTGGTTGAGGAGGTTAATCCGTCTGCTTGAGGTCGGACCGAATACTTGTGAAACGCTGCAGAGCCGGACTTTTCCGTCAACGAAGGCAAGCCCCGGATGCATACAACCCTACCTTGTGTTTTACAAATTGATTTTGCTTTTGCTTTCATTCTTGCATTAAGTGATTAGGAGTTAAGTAAGAGCCTAATTGGTGCATTACCATCCTTGTTATTCCATATTTACCATATTACCGCTTTTAAACTCGTATATGCCTAGTTTTGCTTAGCTATCGTGAGAACGATGAAAAGTCGGGTGATTACCTGTCACCTACAAGTTTTAAATGGAACATTGGTTAATTATGTTAGCATGTGATATGGGAATGTGGAGTAATAAATCTAGACCCCAAGGGACTCGGTGTGTGTGAGCCACAAGACATGGAGGTCTTGTGAGCGGGTTCTTTCCGCCTGTGTCGTTTAAGGCACGTCCGTTGTTGAATTGCATGAGGTGAGAATTTATAGTACTAACCACATACTCCGTAAGCTTTGAACTTGGCGATTCTATTACGAGAATGGCTACTCGCAAGACTTGGAGTGGAGAGATGGCG